GGCACTTGTGGTCTCTTCCAACTCTATAATTCTATGATTCTATGATTCATCACCTTCTACCCTTCAGAAAACAAAAGGATCTTGTAATACATTTGCAACCAAAAGAAATTTGTAGCTAAAACTTTAGTAAACTTAATCTACTTCACCAAATGTATGAGTGAGGCACCTGTGGACAGACATTTATAAAAAAATTGGGGTGGGAGAGGAGTATGAATAATAATGGAAATGAAAAACATGTGGGTATGGTGGGGTTCAGTTCCAAGTTCAGTTCTAATGGTGGTTGTAAAGAGTAGTTAAGGGACAAAGGTGAGAGACAGGATCTGTGCATAAACTTATGAATAGTGGGAGGATGTTCTTGGTCTGGTGCATTCTCATGGGCTCAGAAACAGAAAAGAGATGTAATAAAGTGGGCAGGGGAAACTGCTAGTGGTTGAGATATCTACTGATTTTATAATAGGTGTAGTGTGCCAGGAATCCTGTCAATGTCAATCCACTAGAACAGGGGTAGGCAACCTTTTTGGGCTGGGGGCCAGGTTGCTGTCCCTCAGACAATTGGGGGGGCCAAAGCACCAAAAATAAATAAATAAATAAATTAAAATTAAAATTAAAAAATTAATAAAAATTAAAAAAACATATGCATGCACACTCTCTCAGCTCCAGAAAGCCATGGCAAAACCCCTGTGGAGATTTTGCCAAGAAAAACCCAAGAACAAGTAATAACAATAATCAATATCATTATGGTAGGCGGTGGCAGGACCAGACTTGGGCTGGTACAAAGGCCTCAGGGGCCGCATCCGGCCCCCGGGCCTTAGGTTGCCTACCCCTGCACTAGAATTTGCATATATATCCTAGTTCACCTGTTTCTCTTTCTCATCTTCCTTTGAAGACTTTTGTTCAAAGACTGCAATTAGGAATCACTGTAATTCTTCAATCACTGTTTTGCATTCTTATTACCACACACACACAAAATACATATAAATGTATGCCCACAGGTGTCTTACTCCATGTATTTGATGAAGTGGACTGAGGGCCAGAACAGACAGCCCTTAAAAGATGCCTTCAGGGCATCATTAGAGTGCAGCATTTACATGTCCCATGTTCTAATGACACTCTGAAGGCAGGTGGCCACCCAGACATAGGCGGCTTCAAGACACTCTGGCAGTGCAGTGTTTAGACGCCACACAATGCCAGAGCATCTTGAAGCTGCCATGGGGCTGCAGCACAGTTGCTAAAGGCAGCTTTTCCACAATCCAACAAGGAGTAGATCTTTGCCGCTTCTTTTGAGGCCAGATTCAACGCAAACTGGGGACATAGTGTGTGACTGCTGCAGCCTCAATCTGTCTTTGGAAGTGGTGGCTTCAAGCCACCCCTTCCTCCCCATCTGTTTTCCCCGAGTCTTATGAAAGCTTAGGCTACAAATTTCTTTCTCTCAAAAGATGTTACAAGATCCCTTTGTATACTGATACAGATAACCATGGCTATGCATTGAAATATGACTACTGTCCTTCAGTATGCAGTACATGTATGTACTGAGAACTCTGTCTGGTTACTTCATCCAGAGTGTTGTTCAACAAATACAGTCAGCCCTCCTTATCCATGGATTCAACCATCTATGGATTGAAAATATTGAAAAATACATATAAATTCCTAAAGCAAACCTTGATTTTGTCATTTTATATAAGAGTCACCATTTTACTATACCATTGTATTTAATAGGACTTGGGCATCCACCAATTTTGGTATCCAACAGGGGTGGTGATGTTCTGGAACCAAATCCCAGTGGATACCAAGGGCCTAATGTATACATGCTGGATTAAAGAAATGTAAAACATGATATAATTACTTTAAAAAATTGCTCATGGACCACGGTTTCAGAAGACTGGGAGCCACAAGCATCACTCACTGCCTACTTCACCTATGCTGAGCTACTTACTTCATACAGGCTGCTCTTCTCCTGTTGTGGTTAGTAGTGAGGAAAGAGCCATCTGCAGCAAGATCAGTAAAGGAAGGAAAGAAAACTATCTGTTCTTTCCCACAGAAATTATATGGGTCACTTTTAACAGCAAGGGGGGAAAAACTCTCCATATCATCTGCTGGTGAAAGGAGGTTTACATACCTCCCCCAGGGATCCAATTAAAGATACCTCTTTTCTCTTTAATAGGGGTAAAAAGTTTTATCCCTGCCCTTAAAGGGGTATTCTCTACTCTATCCAGGGACATCCTCAGAGATGTTGGAAACAGAGCACCAGTACCCAACAACTCAGAAGGGCCCAGTCATCAGCACCAGCAATACCTATTCCTGCTCCCTCTTTTGTTGCTCTCAATGTTGTAATTTTGAAAGTTATATCTTTGCTTTGGTATCTTCACAGACACCTCTCCTTACATCTAACCACCCATCCATTTAAGGAGAGTAAGGAGGTGTGCAGACAGGTGGCTCTGGGCTGCCCTGGAAGGCAGCGGATCGGGGCCATGGCTACCCCACGCTGTGGCCCTGATCTTCCCTTTTGCCACCTCAAAAAGAGTGACAAAATGCTGCTCCTTTCAGGGGCAGCAAAAGGCCACCCTTAGAGCCGGCATATGGCCCTTCTTTACCCTTTCCGGCACAGTGCATCAGAACGCTGTGCTGGAAGGGTGTCCTGATGCCACGTGCTGTGCATAATGGTATGTGACATCAGCGTGGGGTTGGGGTGGCTGGCATGCGGCTGTCCTGCCCCAACTGTGCCTCCAGGTTGGCCTTTGGGCCGGTCTGCAGAAGCTCTAAGACAGCTCTTACTCTGAGGCAGGTGCAAGAAATAAAAAGAAAGCCAAATAGCCAAAAGGAAGCATGCTCTCAGTCAGGGATACCTAAATAACCAATTACTGGCTAGCAGTAGAAACACAGAAAAGGAGACATAGGGCCAAGAGGCAAGGAAGGGGAGGGGGCAGCCACACGGTGGCCACCTCAACCCCTTCCCAAGGACATTATCAGGGCATGCGTTGTTATGCATGGCACACACTCTGAATACATCCTCCCAGCACAGCGTCTTCACGCGATGTGCTGGAAGAGATGCAGAAGAACCGTGTGTCAGCTCTTCCAGCACCCTTTTTGTCGCCTGAGAAAGGAGCGGCATTTTGGCACTCTTTTCCCAGGCACCAAAAGGGTGGATTGGGGCTGAGGCATTGGACAGCATCGGTCCCGATCCTCCATTTCCTGGGGCAGCCCAAGGCTGCCCATCTGCAAAGCCCCTGAGTCAAGAAGAAAATGGGAGTAGCTTCCAGAGTCTAATGCAAGTATTCTGATAGGAGGTTTTAGAGAGAACAGCAAGGTTGGTGGCTGATATTTCACTTCACTGTGCTGATGCATCCATGAAGCAGAGACAACTAAAAAAGCTTTTTTCATCCTTCTTCCCTGCTCATCCCCCTGTTAACTGGTTTCATTTGTTCCAGCAGTGGAGGAATAACTAACCAGGGTGAATCCTGTAGCCAAGCAGGTTTGAAGGGGGGGAGGGGGTTTTTCTT